CTTTCTTTCTTTCTTTCTTTCTTTCTTTCTTTCTTTCTTTCTTTCTTGTTCCTGGACTGCTGAGTATTAAGTTTCCCATTGTGCCATAGAGAAGCGCCTTGGGCCATTGTGGGAAATTAGAAGTCCAGTGAGCTCACAGCTGGATGGAAGGCCTTCCAAATTCTAGTTGGATGCTTGGTGGTTGGTAAGTTCTCCAAGAAAGATTTTTCCCCTCTCTCTAGTTCCTGGACTGCTGTGTTAAATTTCCCATTGTGCCATAGGGGAGCGCCTTGGGGCATTGTGGGAAATTAAAAATCCAATGTAGAGCTCACAGCTGGATGGAAGGCCATCCAAATTGCTTCTAGTTGGATGCTTGGTGGTTGGTAAGTTCTCCAAGAAAAATCCCACCCCTTTCCCTCTCTAGTTCCTGGACTGCTATATTAAATTTAAATTAATTTAAAAATTTAAATTAAATTCAGGCCACAGGGGAGTGCCTTGGGGCATTGTGGGAAATTAAAAGTCCGCTGAGCTCGCAGTTGGATGGAAGGCCATCTCAACTGCTTGCAAAGTTATTTCTAGGTGCAGCTCATCAATTAAGCTCTCCAAGAAAGATTTTTTTCCTCTCTCTCTCTGGTTCCTGGACTGCTGTATTAAATTTCCCATCATGCCACAGACAATTGCCTTGGAGCATTGTGGGAAATTAGAAGTCCGGTGAGCTGACAGATGCATGGAAGCCCATCAAGGTGCTTCTACTTGGATGCTTTAATGGTTGGTAAGTTCTTCCAGAGAGATTTTCTGGTTCTTCTTTGCTACCTTGTTCAACTTTAGGGGGCTTGATCCTGGTGGCGGAGCCCTCCTGAACTACGGACTCTAACTCCCATCATCCCTAGCCAACTCACTCATGATCTGAGAAGATGATAGTTGAAGGGGGGGGGGCTCCCCATCTGTTTAGCCACCTCTTCCCCCTCTCACTCAACTTCTTTAGTCCTTCCAAAAATGTGGGTTTGTTTTTTTTAAGAGGTCAACTGGGTAAAACCTCCCTCGGTGCTTGCCCCTCCTCTGTGGAGGATGGGAGTTGTAATCTTGGAGCATTGAGGAGAGCAAAATGGGGTGGGGGGGGGTGTGTGCTGTTATTTTCCTTTTCCTATTCTGAAAAGATTTTAAAAATCAAAATTAAGAGCAACAACAACAACGAAAGAACAGAGAAGGGAAGAGAGGGCCCTCCAGTGGTCATCCAATCCATCTGGGCCCAGGAAAGGAAGACCCAACCGTTCCATAACTGCTTCTGGTCCAGCGAAGAGGAAAGGGGTTCCCCAAATCAATAGATTTTTTTTTTCCCTTTTCTGCTCCGTGATGGGTGCCCGGCACCCAAGCACCAAGGCAGCTGATTCAGCCTGGCAGAAAAGCCCTGGCCTCCAAATCTGCCAACTTCCCCCAAAGACCTCACCATTCCAACAACACCTCGGTCGGCAAAATTCAAATAAAAGAATTGCTCTTGGCGACTCCGAAACCCAAGAGTTCTCTTCCTCTCTTGCAATACCCAGCTTTCCGTTCCTCTTTCTCAGTTCAGTTCACTTCCACCTGTCGGGTTGCAAGGCCCATTATCCCCAGCTGGAACAGCCAGGTTAAGAGATGCTCCCCCCATCTCTTCCTTTCTGGAGCCCCCTTTCCTCAAAAATTGGGTACCAAAGCAATGGCGGTGAAGAGGTTTTTTGCTTGGATTTTGCACTGTTGCCTTTTCGTTCGTTCTGAGACGGTTGAACTTTTTACCGGCCGGGGACATTCTTAACTGTTAAGCGTTGCGATTGGACGCCTTGGATGAATCTTCAACGGTGAAACTTTTATTAAACGTTGACTTGACTAAAATGGTCTTCCCTTTTTTTTTTTTCTTCTTAAATATGGATTTTTTTTTTCAGATGCAGAAGTTCAATGACCGTCGTACAAACAAATCCAACCTAAACTTAGAAGAGAAGAAGGTGGGGGGGAAAGGAGCGGGGAAAGAGGAAAGAAAGAATGAAGAAAACATAGGGAAGGGAAGGAAGGAAGGAGAGAAAAAAGGAAGGAAGAAACTTAATATTGAAAGTATTGAGAGTATTTACACCAAGACAAATTCCTTGTGTGTCCAATCACACTTGGCCAATAAAGAATTCTATTCTATTCTATTCTATTCTATTCTATTCTATATTCTATATTCTATATCCTATTCTCTTCTCTATTCTATTCTATTGTCTATTCTATTCTCTGTTCTATTCTCTATTCTATTCTCTATTCTCTATTCTATTCTATTCTATTCTCTATTCTATTCTCTATTCTATTCTATATTCTATATTCTATATTCCATATTCTATATCCTATTCTCTTCTCTTCTCTATTCTATTCTATTGTCTATTCTATTGTCTATTCTATTCTCTATTCTATTCTATATTCTATATTCTATTCTCTATTCTATTCTATTCCATATTCTATTCTATTCTATTCTCTATTCTATTCCATATTCTATTCTATTCTAAAAAAATGGAAAAGATAATATAACGAAGCAAAAGAAGGGAAGGAAGGAAAGGGAACAAAGAATTACACTTAATATTGAAATGGAAAAGAATATAATGAAGGAAAAAGTATCGGAAGGGTTGAAAGAAGGAAGGAAGGAAGGAGAAAGGAACAGAATTTACCCCACTTAATATTGAAATGAGAAAGAGAACATAATGAAGGAAAAAAGTATCGGATTGAAGGAAAGAAGGAATGAGAAGGTGCAAAGAATTACACTTAATCTTGAAACAAAAGAATATAATGAAGGAAAGAAGTATGAGGAAGGGAGAGAGGGGACTTCAGCTCCCAGAAACCCCCTGGCTGAAGAATTCTGGGAACTGAAGCCCCCACCTCTTCAAGCGGCCAAGACTGAGAAAAAAACCAGTGTTATGAACCCAACCAATCTCTGCCTCGCCATGTCAGCCCCGCTCAGCCTGCAAGAAAGACATCAGTTGCTATGGTAGCATTTGGCTAGGCGCGCCGATGCTCTCCTGGTCCTTATGGGAGTGCGGGGGTTGAGCCGTGATGCTAGTCCCCTTGTGGGAACACAAAGGGTGAGAGAAGAGAACCACAAACTGAGAGTCTCCAAACTCCAGGATTCTGGAGAGGAGGAGAAGCGGGCTCAGCAACCACCAACTAAACGATACCACTTGAACAAAACGGATGGATGGATGGATGAATGAATGAACGTCAACGTTGGGCAAAACCAGGAGGGCAAACAGTAGGGACATGTCGTGCACGTTAGAGACGACATCACTGGAATGTAGCATTAAGTCACCCTGGTTTTGTCTAAACTCCAAGGAGGGCAAATAATAATAATAATAATAATAATCAGTGCCAGCTGGAGGCTAAGAAAGATGACATAATGGTACTTTGGAGGAGGGGCGACGTCATTGGAATACAGCATTACATCGACCTGGTCTTTCCTTAGCCCCTAGCTGGCCTTGTGCCAGGCAGAAAGGGAATAGAGTTTATATCTATCTTTATCATCCATCCATCCATCCTTCCAAGGTGGGTAAAATGAGAACCCAAATTATTGGGGGCAAGGGGCCGATTCTGTAACCGCTTAGAGAGGGCTGTAAAAGCACTGTGAAGCGGGTATATAAGCCTAAGTGCTATTCCTATCTCTATCTATCTATCTATCTATCTATCTATCTATCTATCTATCTATCCAATCATCTATATCATATATCATCGGTCTTCTATCTTCTAACATCTGTATCTATCTATCATCTATCTATCTCTATCATCTATCTATCTATTATCTATCTATCCAATCATCTATATCATATATCATCGGTCTTCTATCTTCTAACATCTGTATCTATCCATCCATCCATCCATCTATCATCTATCTATCTGTATCTATCTATCCATCCATCCATCTATCATCTATCTATCTATCTATCTATCTATCTATCTATCTATCTATCTATCTATCTCTCTCTCTCTCTCTATCATCTATCTATCTATCATCTATCTATCTATTATCTATCCAATCATCTATATCATATATCATCGGTCTTCTATCTTCTAACATCTCTCTCTCTCTCTCTCTCTCTCTCTCTCTCTCTCTCTCTCTCTCTCTCTCTCTCTCTATCTATCGTGATGGCACAGTGGCTAGAATGCAGCATTACAAGCTAACTCTGCCCATTGCCAGGAGTTCGATCCTGACCGGCTCAAGGTTGACTCAGCCTGCCATCCTTCCAAGGTGGGTAAAATGAGCACCCCGATTGTTGGGATGGGGGTGATAGGCTGACTCTGTAAACCGCTTAGAGGGGGCTGTAAAAGCACTGTGAAGCGGTATGTCAGTCTAAGGGCTACTGCTATTAACCGCTGTGGCTGAGACAGGCCGTAAAACGGGACAGAACTCCCTTAACACGTTTCTCCCTGAGCCACATCAATTTGGGGGCTCCACTGCAGTCGTTAAAGTGACGGATGCCTCTTTTCCAGTTTAGTTTCCCGATATGGCGAGAATAGAGGTACAGAGACGGGGAGAGGAAGAGAGAATTCTTCACTTGACCCCCTTTTCCAAAGTCTTTGGAAGGGCTGTTTATTTCCTCTCCGAATCACCTGATTTCCACCACCCCCCGGAACCATTTTTGGACCGAGCCCCACCACGCACCCACGTCCTAAGAGGCTAGGCCTTTCCCATAAATGCCGTTGGAAACTATGCTGCCTGCCAAGGCTTTGCACGACGCCAGGTTGTTTCCAGCAACATGGCCTGGAAAATAGTCAAAATGGGAGGAAAAAGAGGAAGGGAGGAGAGGATGTCGGGTCCATAGCCCGCTACATCCTCTCCTCCCTTCCTCTTTTCTCCCTCGTTTTTCAGCAGGGCAAGGAGCCTCTGCAGACGGAGGCTAAGCCATGTGGGAGGAAGCGGCCTCTGGAGGCTTTCGGGGGGCGGGGGGTGTCTTCCCTGCTTGGAGGGTCTTTCTAAAAAAAACAACCACCCCCCAAAACGGAAAAGAACATCGGTGTGATTTTTCTGTGGTTTTTTTTTTTTGAAGGGAAAGGCAGACCCTGCTAGCTAGTTGGAGACTTCAATGCAAGGTTTGGGGAGGATGCCCCGTTGGAAGGAAGAGCCTCCTCAGGCTGGGGATGATGGGAGGTGTTATCAGAGGAGCCTGAGGTGGAGAATGGTGGCAGGCTGTAGCTCATAGACAAGAGGGAGGGAGGGAAGGAAGGAAGGGAGGGGAAGGAAAAAGAAAGATAAAGGAAAGAGAGAGGAGAGAGAGAGAGAGAGAGAGAGAGAAAGAAGGAAGAAAGTGGAAGGGAAAGAGAAAGAAAGAAAGAGAGAAAGAGAAGGAAGGAAGGGGAAATGAAAGAAATTAAAAAAAGAGAAAGAAGGGAAACAGTCAAAACGTGAGGAAAAAGAGGAAGGGAGGAGGAAAGGGGGAAGGAAAAGAGAGAAAGAAAGAGAGGAGAGAGAAAGGGAAGGAAGGGGAAGGAAAAGAAAGGAGAGAGGAGAGAGAAAGAGAAGGGAGGGGGAAGAGAGAGACACGCAGAGAGAGAAACGGGAGGGGGGACAGAGGAGAGGGAAAGAAAGAAAGATGAAAGGAAGGAAAAGAAAAGAGAAAAATGACAAAGAGATACAGAGAGAGAGGGAAGGAACGAACGAATGAGAGAAAGAAAGAGGGAAGGAGCAAAGAAAAGGGAAGGGAAAGATAAAGGGAAAGAGAGAGGGGGGGGGTGTTGGGTAAGTTTTTAAAGAGCCTTAAAAAATCACCCTGCTTCTTGCTTGCGCGCCCAGCTCCTGCCAGCTTTGGGCAGCCCTCTGCACAGGCTCAAAGACGCCTTTTCCACTCAGCCACACATGGGCAGTCCTTGGCTGGACCTCCCGCCCCCGTTCCCCGCCCCGAGCCGCCAGAACCGGGCTGGACGAGGAAGGGAAGGGAAGGGAAGGGCCAGCGTCCCAGCAAGGGCGATGAGCGACTCAGCCGAGGCTGGCGACTATGTCTCCCGTCGGGAGACCCCGCAGCTCTTCGAGGTAGGTCCTGGGGCGCCGGGGCAAGCCAACCCCCTCCTTCCTCCCGGGCGCCTGGGTGGGGGTCGCCTCTGAGCATGCACAAAGCGCCCCGGGGCGCAGCCTGCATCGGTCCAGAGCGCAAAGGTGCCGCTTTGGGAACGTCCAAACTTTACGCAGGGACGCCAGGAAGGTCGCGAGGGCGGGGTGGGGGGTAGGGGGGAAGCTAGCCTCGCCAGGATCCCCAGGAAAGGAGGGCAGAGGGTTTCTGAGCATAAGCAGAGCACGCATTTCGGGAAGGGCAAGGCTTAATCCGTGGGTGCCAATCCCTACTAAGTGAAGTGGCGACGGGAGCGCTGCTACAACGGGAGGGGACATTGGGCACAAACACACGCGCACACACACACACACACACACACACACTGGAGTGTGGGAGTGTGGCTCTGGTGGCTGTGGAGGGAAAGGCACACAGTCCAGCTGGACCTTCAGAGGAAGACCCAGGCCCACCCCCTCTTCATCCTAGAGCGGGGAGGAACGGAGAAGGGAGCAACGTGAGTTACGGGTGGAGGAAAGGGTCCTGATTCCCTTCATTAGCTGCAGCTGGGGAAAGAGGATAAAGAGGGTGTTTGCTCACAGTACCTTGCTGGAAGCAAAGTGTGCATTATCTTTGTTTGTCATGTCTTATCTGGGTTCTGCCGCTCTCCCAACCCTGTGTGTTTTGTTATCTTTTGGAAGCCCCGCCATTCCTTATCCTGCCCCGTATTGTTCATTGCTGCAGCGTGGTTTGTGTTGGGTTTTTTTTTATTTATAATTTACATGTTCTTTGGGTTCGGACTGAATTTTTTCCCTTTAAAGACTGTTCTTGGGAGAGTTTTATTTTTCTCTCCAGCCGATGATAAGTGGATGTTGGGGGCCAAGTTGGAGGAATTAAAGGGACTTTGCCTGCTTTTGCGGCTTCGTTGCTTTTGTGCCAACGCCCCTTTGAGTCATCACATCCTGGGAGCAGTACCAGGTGTCCTTTCCTCGGAGATCTATGGAGTCTCCAGTGCCTAGATTGGCTCACTGAACAGCTTCCTTGCTTAGCAAACAGAAATCCTGATTCCCCCATTATGGTCGTAAGTCAAGGACTGTATCTTGTTGCATTGCCTTGTCCTGTCCGCCTCACATTATCGCCCCTCTCTGATGAGTTTCCGTTTCCCCAACTAGGCTGTGACGTCTTCCCTCCCTCTTGTAGGACCTGCCTCGGCTCCGTTCAGTTCCCGCCAGGACGGATCTTCGGTGCAGAGCCAGTTCTCCATCGAGAGCGATTCCGATATGACTGAGTCCACAGAGTTGATCCAAGAATACGACGCCTTTGAGCCCGGACGGCCCCGCCCTAAGATCGTTTTCGTGATGGGTGAGAGAGGTCTCTGTCAGAAGACGAGATCCGGGGGGGGGGGCTGGGGGGGGGGGGGGGTTGGGTTAGAAGACGTTCAGGCTCCCTTACAGCCCTAGGTTGACAGAAGGCCAATTCCACAGGACACAAAGACCTGTGTTTCTTCCAGGACCCCTCAGAAGTGGTGCAGGGTCTCCTGCTTGGGTGGGAGTGGGGGTGGGGTTAGACTAGATGACCTCCAAGGTCCCTTCCAACTCTGTTAATCTATCATCTATCATGTAAAGCTTCCTTTATGGGCGGAGGGACACGTCACCTCCAGAGGAGGAGAACAGAAGACCGTAGAATGATACGGCTGGAAGGGAGCTTGAAGATTATTCTAGTCCAATGTCTATTCAAAGGCCTTATGCCATCCTGGTGAGAGGAGGAGGAGGAGGAGGAGGAGGAGGAGGAGGGGAAGGAGGAGGAGATGAATCATAGTGCTGGAAGGAAGGGACTTTGAAGGTCTTCTAGTCCAACCTCTAGCTCAAGACAAGTGTCCCTATACTGTCCTGGTCAGAGGAGAAGAAGGAGAAAGAGACAAATGGTTATCCAATCTCTTCTTAAAAACCTCCAGTGTTGGAGAATTCACAATTTCTGGAGGCCGGTTGTTCCACTGGTGAATTGTTCTCACTGTAGGAAATTTCTCCTAAGTTCCAGGTTGCTTGATTAGTTTCCATCCATTGTTTCTCGTCCTGCCTTCTGGTGCTTTGAAGAATAGGTTGACCCCCCCCACCCCCAACAAAATTGGGCTGTTCAAAGAAACGAGTGGTATAATGAAATTTGGAGTATGATAAATTAACGATGTGTTATTGTGGTTGAAGCTGACAGGTAGGGCATTACAGCAGACAATTTTGTATGCTAAGCTTAAGTCAGATCGTAGGCGGCGTAATTCTGGGTTGTCCAAGCCCAAAAATCTCACGCCTGGTAGTGCAGAGTATTCTATTATGAGCAGAGGAGTGGAGTACTCTTCTTGTGAACTACTTCTGGATTCGTTCAATTGTATCAATGTCTGTTACGCAGCGTGGATTCCAGGCAGACGAGCTGTGTTCAAGTATTGGTCTGGCAAAGGTGTTGTCTGTTTCAGACTCTCTGGGCCCTCGGCTTTCTTTTAGTAGCCTCCTCCAGCCTTCCTTTCTGGACTTCTCTTTTCTCTCCTCCTCCTCCTCCTCCTCCCCTTCTCACTGCTATTCAGCTCCCGTCTCTGGGCACCCGTGCCTGCCAACGCTCCCTCCTTCTCCCATCATGCCTGAAAGCCTCTCTCTATATAGGGAGGTAAAAATAACCATGCAGGGTGGTCAGTGGTGGAGAAGCACAGCCGCCTCTCTCTCTCTCTGTGTGGCCGCCTTTGTCTGCTCCTCTTCCAGCGCTGAGAGGTAAGGCTGAGCCGTTTTTCCCCAGGATGTTTTAAAATTAATTCTTGCTAAAAGGCAGGGCAATCTTTCGGGGAAGGAAAAAAACCCCGAAAAAACAGCGCAGAACTGAACAGCTCATTCAGCGGAGAACATTGGGGAAGATTTCTCTGACGGTTTGAGAAGCAGGAAACAGCTCCGGGTAGAGATTTGCAACGGGGCTTTTGATTTTATTTTATTTTTCCCTTGAGGGATCTGCAGCCAAATGGACCCAGGGCCAAAGGCTGTGGATAGTTGCAGCAAAATCAGACATGCTTTGATCCATTTAGGATTGTGTGTATGTGTGTCTCTGGGTGATCTTGCATCAACTTTGGGAAGGCGTCTGGTTGCAATAACCTTGACTGACCTCTTAGGGTTTTGTTTTGTTTTCTCTGTTGCGCCAAAGCCGCTGGAGAGGGGCTTTCAAATCATTTTTTTTTCAAGGAGTGGAGGGGGGGGTCTTGGTCTCCCTCTTGCCCCCACCCCATCCTGCAACGTTGCCCTGGTTAAACAGCTGGGATTTTGGCAGGAGTTTACTCTTTGTTAAATTGGAAAATAATAATAATAATAATAATAATAATAATAATAATAATAATAATAATAATAATAATAATCCTCCCCCCCCCAGCCAGATTTGGAGGTCGTAAAGACATCGCTGGGGGGCCAAGTGTGGAGAACTATAGGATCTGGAGGAAATCCAGATGCTGGTTTAAGCAAAATGGAGAACAAGAAGTTCCTGTTCTGTTCTCCTTCGCCTTCTTTCGTTCTTTCTTGCGAGTATGTTCTCTTTTTTCCCCAGAATCCAAAGACCTTTGAACCAAAGGCAAAGGAAGGGGGGAAAGAACTTGATTAATTGCTTCCTTGTCTAGCCAGTTCCTTGCCTGCAGAAAGCTAGCATCTCAGGGAGAGACTCCCTGTACGTTGATTTAACCCAGCCTTCCCCCAAAGGATCTAAACAGCAATTTTAGCATGTGCGTAGCCGTCTCTCCTCCTCTTCTCTCCCCTACACTCCACAACTCCCCTGTAAGGTAGGCTGGGGGAATAAATAGCTATCTAAGAAGCATTGGTGACTAAATTTGAACCTGGGATGCATCCGATGATGCTAAAATTCAGAGTATCTACATTGATTATCCTGGGGGTTTTAATTGCACCCCCTGGAGAGACAACACAACACAACACACACATATCTAAATCCCTTGTTCTTGGTAGTTAGAAATCCAACAGAGAGGCCCTGGATTTCTCCAAGGGAGGAAGCTCTGGGATTTTTGTGTTGTTTTTAAACAGCCCACACACCTGTCATTAAACACTGAATCACCTCATTGTGATGATGAGGTACATCATAATGACCACGTCGCTTGGATGTCAAGGGAGGAAACTGTCATTCCAGAACCAGATTCATCAATAACCATCATCCTCCACTAGTGTTTCCTGACAGCTGCTGGAGGATGTCTAATGTAGTTTTCCTAACATACTGGGAGGTAACCTGGTTTTTTTTTCTTTTCTGTGCCTAGTTTGTAACCTTCAGGGGGCCAGGGAGGCCATCCTTGAGGCAGGAGTGGCTCATTGGAAAGGCAGGAGAAGAAGGAAGAAGAGATTGAGCTGGCTGCTTCCTTGCCCTGCCAATTCCTTGCTTGCAGAAAAGCTAACACCTCAAGCCAGGCTGATTTAAACCTGGGAGGAGACAACAATTTTAGGCAGGTTTTCTCCTGATGTTTTCAAGGGATGTGTAGGGGTGTGTGTGTGTTTGGTGAACGTGCCTGCCTTTGGATGCAATCGTTTTGCAGAAACGGAAGAATTCCAACTCCCGACATGCTTCCAAATCCACTTTAAACTTCAGGAAGACATTTAAAACTTTGCTCTAGCACCCAACTCACCTTTTCCCTGCAAAGGTTGAGCAAAGGGACTCGACTAGAAGACCTCCCAGGTCCCTTTCAGCACTGTTATATTATATTCTTCTCCGTGCCCAGCCAGATTTACAGTTGTTGAGTTGCACTTTGCAAAACCTCAAAGGAGTTAACCTTATTAGGTGTTTAAAAAAAAAGAGAGAGAGAGAGAGAGATGTGTAACCAGACCTGGTTATTTGTCCCCTCAAACTGTGCCAGGATCTATTCTAGGAGTCGCTTCTCTTTCGGCGTCATTAGTAGATTTTTTTTTTAAGGGAGGGCGCTTTTTTTTTTTGGGCTGAGGTGAAATAACCCAATGTAAAGGTGAGCTGCTCTCCAGCCATGAAACTCAACGCCACCCAAAGAGGCTTCCGAAATCTAACCGCGATTCGATCCACGCCTCGGAGAAGCCCATGAGGTGGGTTTCAGCTGCTGACCTTTTGCAGTGGGGAAACTGAGGACTGAAGGATCAAGTAGCAAGCCAGGATTGGAAGCCGCGATGCCAGGATTTAATGGAGCACTCAGACAGGGGACAACGATTGGGTTTGATTCATCTCTTGGGGTCAGCAATGCAACAAACGCTTTGTTTGTAAGAACAAAACAGAATAGCAGAGTTGGAAGGAACTTTAGAGATCTTCTAGTCCAACTCCCTATCCTTGGGCAGGATACCCTACACCATTTCGGACAAATGGTTGTCCGATCTCTTCTTAAAAACTTCCAGTGTTGAGCATTTACAGCTTCTGGAGGCCGGTTGTTCCACTGGTTAATTGTTCTAACTATCAGGAAATTTCTCCTTAGTTCTAAGTTGTTTCTCTCCTTGAGTGGTTTCCACCCTTTGCTTCTTGTCCTTCCCTCAGGTGCTTTGGAGAATAGCTTGACTCCCTCTTCTTTATGGCAGTCCCTGAGATATTGGAAGACTGCTATCATGTTACCCCTAGACCTTCTCTTCATTAAACCAGACATACCCAATTCCAGCAACAGTTCTTTGTCTGTTTCAGCCTCCAGTCCCCTCATCATCTTGGTTGCTCTTCTCTGCACTCTTTCTAGAGTCTCAACCTCTTTTTTTTTTACATCGTGGTGACCAAAACTGAAAGAGTTGGGAGAACAAATAGAATAAGATATCCATTTGTTGGTGACGTTTCCCCCCACACACACAAAAGTCAGGCTGCTTTTTCACAGAATGGAAATAAAATCACCTGAATCGTTGTAAAACTCACGGCGTTGGGAAAACTTAACCAGCCTTTGGTCTTGAAATGAGCTTTACAATCTGAACTGATACGCTAGGGAGTCCCTGTTGATTCTTAAAACGGTTCTTCCAAGCTTGGTCCTTCAACAGTTCCAGGGGTCTATCTGTCCATTTTGCAGTGGACTCCTTCATAACCTCCCAAAAGCAGAAAAATAAAATAAGTAAGATTTCCCCTAGCTAAATAGTACAGAAGAAGGCATAGGTTATGCTTTTCCTTTTGAGTCATTTTTCAAGAAAGAAGGGGGGGGGAATGCAAAGAATAGTCCAAACTTCCTTAGATACTTACCAGCTGGGTCCACTGCCTGGGGATGATGGGTGTTTTAGTCCACTTTCTTCACCCAAGGCTGACCTAAACTCCAGACTGAAGTAGCAGCCGACGGCTTGAAAGCAAATCCAACGATATATTTTTTTTATGGAGAGCAGGGATCTGGAGAGATCTGGAGAACTGAAGAATACAATATTAACAGAGCTAGACGGGACCATGGAGGTCTTCTAGTCCATCCCCCTCTGCTGAAGCAGGAGATTCCTATACCATTCGTTCAGCCTTTTCTTAAAAACCTCCAGTGATGAAGCACCTACGACGTCTGAAGGCAACATCTGAAGGCACTTGAGCTTCGCCTCTTGATGAAAAAATTCTGGAGATCTTTTTTCTGGGCCAAGAATAGATTCCACAGCCTGAAAAATCATTTTTCTAGATCCCAGGCCCCTTGCTCAGCATAAGAGCTGCAGAGATACGGAGCTCCATTTGTGCTGACTTGAGGCCCCTGGAAAAGAAACAAGCCATGAATAGTCCATCTAAAAGACCTGGAGAACTTGAAGTATTCCTGTCGTCTTCTCGTCTCCTCCTTTACCACTAAAAACCACCCTGTCTTGAGACCCAGCGTTCCAAACCAAATCCTCTCCCGTTGTCCGTGCGTGCTTTCTCTAACCATGGCTCCGTGCTCAGAGGCGCCACCAGCCCAAGGTCATGGTGCAAAGACCATGACCGGCTGGAAGAGAAGATGGAAGCGCAGGCATCGCAAGTGGTCGCCGTCACGAAGTGAAGTATTGAGCCAGGCGAAGGAGAAAGATGGAGAAAACTTACCACTTGGAGTGGGAGTTTTCAAAAATGGGACCCCATAATGCAAATTCTGTTTAAAGAAGGATAATATGATCGCAGTATTCCAGTATTGGAGGGGCTGCCCCGGAAAAAAGGTGTGTGTGGGAGGTCAATTTATTTTCCAAAACACCAAAAGGCAAGACGAGAATCAATGGATGGAAAAAACAACAACCTAGAACTGAGTAGAAATTTCCTGAATATGAGAACAATTAACCAGTGGAACAACTTGACTCCAGAAGTTGTGGCTGCTCCATCACTGGAGGCTTTTAAGAAGAGACTGAACAGCCGCTTGTCCGAAACGGCGTAGTCTCCTGCTTGAGCTGGGGGCTGGACTAGAAGACCTCCAAGGACCCTTCCAACTCCGTTATTATTCTTTTTTTTTACTATTTTTTATTAAACGCCAACTCTGTTAATTCTGTTATGCCTAAAGTCTCCTGGGGAATTTCATTGCTTCAGTTTTCCCCCCCCCCACGGTGGTCCTTCTTGCCTCTGCCGTATGGCGTTGAAGTTCTCTTCCCAAGAGCTGCCGGTACATCCGAGGCAGGAAGCAGTTGCCATGGGAACCTCTTCCCAGGTGATGCCTCAGCAGGTGTTTTTTTTTCCTCCCTCCATTCACGTAGCTGTGAGTCAGAGGCTGCCTACCAGGTTACACATCAACAGCGATCCTTGGACTCTTGTTTTCCTCCGTTGGGCAGTTGCCGGGGTGACTCTACCGGGAGGGTTGGAGAAAAGGCTCAGTAAGGCCTCGTCTCTCTTCACCGTTGAACCTTCTCGGGGTCTGCCAGCTGAAAAGAAAAAGGAAGGGAAAAAAAATTAGTTGCCGTGTCTAACCCAAGATTGATTTTGGTGTTCCAGGATAGATTGAGGTAAAGCCTTTTTGTGTCGTTTTATTGCTCTGCGTTTTATCCCCAACACCTGTAGGGATGATGGAAGGTTTTATTTGAGGTGGCAGTTAGGGACATACATTTTTTTAAAAAAGGCAGGGAGATGGGAAGGATTTAAAGACACGGCAACATCAGGTAGAAGTCATAATTATTTTATGACTTAGTTATTTTTGCCAGCGGGCCTGAGTTCTTCTCCTATCTACTTTTGGAAGGGGAGATTGGAGCAATCGAGGAATTTCCTGAGCTGCTTGAAGGGTTGATGTCCTTCAAGAGTTGGGATCTTCGGTCTAATCGAATCTTCTGTTTTCTTTCAGACAGAGGAGGTTGACACCTCAGAACCTGTGGGAATGGCGGCAGGTCAGTGAATTGTCTCCCTTTCTCAGTTTTGGTGGATCTTGATTGATCTTTCTGGTCAATCAAGCCAACGTTCGTAGTTATTCTCTTTTGATCTTCACCTACCAGCACTTCTTTATGAGGTTCCAACTTCTGGGCCTCCCAAGATGCTCCATTCTGCCCCCCCCAATCTTTTTTCCAAATTCCCCCCCCCCCCAAGGAGTGAACATTTGTCCAGTTTATTTTGACTTGAATGGGACTGTAGACTATACAAATGTAGGACATATATAATAATGACATATATAATAATATACATTTGTATATTAAACAGTCCCATTCAAGGAACAGGATAACAGATAATCAGAGTTGGAAGGGACCTTGTAGGTCATCTAGTCCAACCCCCCACCCAAGCAGGAGACCCTACACCATTTCTGACCAATGGCAGTCCAATCTCTTCTTGAAAGTCTCAAGTGATGGCGCTTCCACAACTTCCAAGGGCAACTTCTGTTCCACGGGTTGATTGTTCTCCCCGTCAGAAAGTTTCTCCTTATTTCCAGATTAAATCTCTCCTTGTTCAGTTTCCATCGATGATTCCTTCTCGATTTCCTTGATTTCCCTCACAACTGGAAAACCAGTAGGCCAGGGATGGGGAACCTTTTATGGCTCACTCAGGAATTCTGGGAGTTGAAGTCCATAAGTGATCAAAGAGCCAAGTTTCCTTACCCCTGGCCTAGGGCATGTTGGTACCATTGGTTGGACAGTTTCTAAGTTGAGGCCTTATATTGTGGTCCTTCTCTGGTCTGAAATTTGCAGGTTGATCCAACATTACAAGTATGTCCCCAAAGGTGCTTTTTTCAAAAGACCATTATGGGGCTTTGTTCTTCCTTGAAGATGTTTCGCTCCTCACCCGAGAAGCTTCTTCAGCTCTCCAGAAGGCAACTGGACTTTGTTTTTTTTCTTGAAGAGGTTTCGCTTCTCATCCAAGAAGCTTCTTCAGTTCCTCAGAAGGCAACCGGACTTTTCTTGAAGAGGTTTCACTTCTCACCCAAGGAGCTTCCTCAGTTCTAACCTGAACTGTTCAGATGCAGTCACTCAGAACTGAAAAAGCTTCTTGGATGGGAAGTGAAATGTCTTCAAGGAAAAATAAAGCCCAGGGGCCTCTTGAAAAAGCGCTTTTGGGATAACCGTGACCTGGATGACTGAGAACCTTCACACACATCAAACAACACAGTGCATTTCTTTGGCATTAGTGCCGATCCAGTGCATTGATGTCCCAGGTGGGTGAGTTTTTTTTCCTGTGGTAGACACTTCTGAAGTCAATTTGTGAAGTGGACTTGAGAGATTTACAACACACCAGATATTTGTCTGCAGAACAGAGTTTGGCTTGGATGGTGACCTTTCTCCACTACTTAACACCCAAGATATAATTGGGGCCGATATGTTGGAGTTAAAAGATTGACTTTGTAGTTGAGTGGCAGCATCTACAGGCTGAGTTTCCTCTGGAACTGAGTTGCTAAAAGAAAGGGAAGAAAGGATGTACAAAAACTAGCCATTCAGACATTCCGACTAGACTCCACAGACTTCATCATTTCCTTACTGCTCATTTCCTCAGCTCTGCAAGGATGTAATTCTAGAAGGATGTAATCAAAGGTTGTCCGTGAAACCTGAAACGGGTGGCTTTTATTTTTAGCTCTCCCGCTTGGCAGTCTATACATTTTCAGCCAGATCTGGAAAAGTTTCCGGGCTCCTGAAAAGCATCATTCAAAGAAACAGTAGCAGAATGAAGGCACCTCCTCCGTTTTGTACTCCCATGTTTGCAGCCCACAGAAATTGGGAAATGAAACTTTGGGGGGGTGCCGATTTCTGCAGTCCCCGAGACAACATTTGTTGTGAAATAAGCTTGTAAGGAAGTCTTGTATCTATTGATACGGGTGGGAGTTCACATCTTTTGCAGTGATAGAGATAGATGGATGGATGGATGGATGGATGGATAGATAGATAGATAGATAGATAGATAGATAGATAGATAGATAGATAGATAGATAGATAGATAGATAGATAGCAGTCAGGATAGATAGATAGCAGTCAGGATAGATAGATAGATAGATGATAGATTGATAGATAGATGAGGGGGGGGGTTAGAAAATAGAAGACAGATGATATATGATATAGATGATTGGATAGATAGATAATAGATAGATAGATAGATAGATAGATAGATAAGAGGGGGGTTAGAAGATAGATGATATATGACATAGATGATTGGATAAATAGAAAATAGACAATAGATAGATAGAGATAGATAGAGATGTTAGAAGATAGAAGAGATGATATATGATATAGATGATTGGATAGATAATAGATGATAGATAGATAGATAGATAGATAGATAGATAGATAGATAGGTAGATATATACAGATGATAGAAGAGAAGATACATACTTACATACATGATATAGATGATTGGATAGATATAGATGTTACATAGAGACAGACAGACAGAGATGAAGAAGAGATGATATATGATATAGATGATTGGATAGGTAGAAAATAGACAATAGATAGAGATAGATGATATAGATAGATATAGATGATAGGTATATAGTTAGGTAGGTAGGTAAATAGATAGAGGAGGGATGAGGGGGGAATCCTTTTTAAAACGAGTTCACAAACGGAGGTGGCTGTCTTGTGTAAGCACCCAAGAACTGGCTTCTCCATCAGATCCTAACAGGTTTTTCTCTCCTTTTTTTTTTCCTTGCAGAAAAATTGAAAAACCACAAAATCATCTTCGTGGTGGGTAAGTCTTAAGCCAGCGCAAAGTATTTCTTTTGACTCCCACCCCTTCCCCCCCCCCCAAAAAAAAAAGCTTTTAAGGACTTTTCAACAGGGTTCTAAGGTGGGCCTGGATTTCTCTTTGTCAAATTTGGGTTAGAGCCCAGCTCGGTGCTAGAAGGCGATGGGGTTTGGGTGGAGGAGAAGGAGGGGAGGAAGAGGAGGAGGACTGTGGGGCCCTTGGTGACTCCCTGAACTTGGTAGTTTTCTTTCAGACATTTCATGACCCCTAACTAGGTAACATCATCAGTGCTAGTGTACTGCAGCACTACTGGTAGCACTGATGATCGTACCTAGTGGGTAATGAAACATTTGCAAGAAAGCAACCACGCTCAGGGAGCACCGAAGACGCCACAGTCCTTCTCTCCCATCCCCTTCTAGCACTGATGATGTTACCTAGTTGGGTCATGAAACGTCTGCAAGAAAACAAACAAGCACCAAAGACTTCCTCATTTCAACCCCGAGCTCCAAATATTCTCCTGTCCTGATCGTTTTTAGTCCCTAATTCTGGGCCTGATTGCTCTATGCCCTCTGCAGGAGGACCAGGTTCTGGAAAAGGAACACAGTGCGAGAAGATTGTCCAAAAATATGGCTACACCCACTTGTCCACCGGTGATCTCCTACGAGAAGAAGTCAGCTCCGGCTCGGACAGGGGGAAGAAGCTTTCGGCCATCATGGAGAAAGGAGAGTTGGTCCCTCTGGTGAGTTAGATAAAAGACCTTCTAGATGTTCCTTAACCTTGGAAATCTTCCGTGCTGTTGGCTTCCTTCAACTTCTAGGCTGTCCATAATTCAAAGCCAAGTGAATAGACATCCACGCCGCCCCACAATCACGGCACTCTCTAGTCTGATCTACATTACAGGCAGTCCTTGACTTCCAACAACCTACAACGGCACTGGGGGGAAAAATTGACTTAATGTTCTGACCGAGGTTTCCTAAGACATGCTTAATTAAAACAACCCTTGTTTTATTTCAATGCTAGGAATTATGTTCATTCCCAGCCCGTCATGAGTCCCAAATAGTCTCTCGAGATAAGCACCCACCTTTAACACCTTCGAATGGCTGCCAAAAACGAGAGTGCCAAATGAACTATAAAAAGCCAACCGGAGTACGAAGTCCACACAGAGCTTCAAGGTTGAATCTGAACCGAACGAATGACTTTGCTTCCTGCAAAGGTTTCTCCACCTTTGCCTGACTTTTATACCTTATGGGAGGGGCAATCACCTCCAAGAGTTACTCCCGAGTTGCCCCTTTTGTTTCAGCTGCTCTTGTCTTCTAGCAGCTCTGTGCATACGCGGACTGGGAACAGGCTCCCCTGGGTCCTCTGCCTCGCTGCTGCCAGACTCCAGAGGCTCCGGAGGCAGCACCCCACTCCCAGATGGTCCTGGCCTCATCTCTGCATTGTCCGAGTCCTCCCCAGACCCCTGGACTGGTCCCCGTTCTTCCCCACTGTCCGATTCCACTGCCATCTGCACAGGCCGCTGGCGAAACCACAACACTTGTGGTTGTTTTAAACACAACCGTTGCGGCATCCCCGCAATCAAAATTCAGAGGCTCGGAACGGATTCATATTTACGATGGTTGCAGCAGGGGGGTCATGTGATTTCCGCCCCCCCTTTTGTGACCTTCTGACCAGCAAAGGAAATCCAGATTTGCTCAAACAACCTGGTTACTAACTTATCAACTCCCTTCACAACGGAGGTGAGAAAAGTGGTTACAAACAGGGCAAAATTTCACTTGATGGACGTCTTGCGGAACGACAGAAAATTTGGGGCTCTATTGTTTGCACGTTGAGGATTGATTGTTGTGCAAATAAAATCAAGAAAGTCATGTCCACAGTGAAGAAAGGTAGAATATCAGTAAATAATGGAAGAGATGGAGGAAGGGTTAGAAATATCCCATCCGTGGGGGACCCAATACAATCCAAGCTCCTTTCCCAGTTGTGTGAATCCAGAGCTCTGGAATTCTCTCCCCCTGCCCCGCAAACTTTGCAAAATCGCTCCTTACTCCGATCTCTTCGTCCAACAGGAGACTGTCCTTGACATGCTGAGGGACGCCATGTTGGCCAAAGCAGACCAGTCCAAGGGCTACCTGATTGACGGTTATCCCCGGGAGGTGAACCAAGGCGTGGAATTTGAGAAGAAGGTAAGAACGTGGTGGTGAATCAATATCTCTCTCTCTCTTTCTCTCTCCTCTTCCTCTCTTTCTCTCTCCTCTTCCTCTCTCCCCTCTTCCTCTCTCCTCTTCCTCTCTCTCTCTCTCTCTCTTCCTCTCTCCCCTCTTACCCCTCTCTCTCTCCTCTCTCCTCTTCCACTCTCTCTTTCCTCTCTCTCTCCTCTTCCTCTCTCTCTCTCCTCTTCCTCTCTCCCCTCTTCCCTCTTCCTCTCTCTCCTCTTTCTCTCTCCTCTTCC